AAATAAATAAATAAATAAATAAATAAATAAATAGTCAGTCAGTCAGTTAGTTAGTTAGTTAGTTAGTTAGTTAGTTTTAGGCATAAAAACTTCCCCTGAAATGTGAAATTGGTTAGAGAATGGACTGTTTTAGGAAAGATAGTTTTAGGAATATAAGGGGAAAAAGAAGTGGGAAATGAATGTTGCTTTTTAAAGTAATGCTTCCCACCTACATTTTTATAAGCTACCTGTATTAAGCCTGTGCCAATGTAATTCAAATTTGTGTCTGCTTTGCATTTTTTTAATTAGTGAATTGAACAGACCTAAATAAAAACAATTCAACAGTGATACTACAAGCTAAAAAGGTACACAGTTACTGCTAAGATAAACTAAAATTTAAGGAAAACATCCATATCATGTTAATGTACAACTAACTTAGTCCTGTAACATGTTATTAAATCTTAACCATATGGAAACTTAATCTTCTCATCTCTACAGTACAAAGATAGTTCAGTGGAGGGTCATTAAGGACAAGTTTTAAGCCCTGTTAGTTTAATGACTCACTGCGTTAGCCTTGTGATCCTGATTTTTAGGTTAGGAATAGGGGGTTTGCAAATTGGCCTTCAAATGCTTGTTGTTTCCTTAATAGGCCCAGTCCAAGAAAAGTTTTCGTCATTCCTTGATTGCTAAGAAATACATTTTGCTTTCATCATCAAAACTTTTTCCATGCTATTGTCACAGATTGGCAGCCAGGAAAAAAGAATGTGGCTTAAGTCTGCAATTTTCTATATTAACTTTCTCTGACCTAGTCTCCTCTGAATGTGTAAGGCACTGTTTTTCAACCTTGGCAAATTTAAGACGTGTGGACTTCAATTCCCAGAATTCCCCAGCCAGCTTGGGGCTGGGGGAATTCTGGGAGCTGAAGTCCACACATCTTAAAGTTGCTAAGGTTGAGAAACGCTGATCGAGGTTCACATCCAACAGTGCTAGTGTAAATACGTGCTGTTCATATAGATAAAGTGTTTGGAAATAGGAAATAAACTGTTAGGAGGTGCTGATCAGAATTAGGGAAATGCAGCATTAAACAGGGTAATTATCTCAATCCTGATTCCAGAGTTTTCTTAGCTTTAATCCTAGTTAGAATGATTGGGAACAGCTAGACATCAGTTATTTATATTAATGTATATTATATTAACTAATTTATATTAGAAACTGTCAAGAATCTGCCCAGGACAGATTGTGGTCAAGCAGAAGCCAAGAATTCAGAAACGGGTTTCTGGATTCTGCAAGGACCAGAACATGATTGGGAATGATCCAGAAATTAAAAAAATGAGATGGCAGATTTTAAGAGTGGGGGGCAGGAAAGCTTCTATAATTAGGAAAAACTAGGGGTGAAAATATACAGCCTGAAGATAAAATAAAATCCAGACATTTCAGCCATCCTTGAATGATCAGGGTGCAGAGAAATCCTTCCTTTAGGATCTAGACCAGTGTTTCTCAACCTGGGCCACTTGAAGATGTGTGGACTTCAACTCCCAGAATTCCCAGCCAGCTGGGGGATTCTG